TTTTTTCTCAAATTCCATCCGAATTCTTTTTCCCTCCAATTTTTGGATAAGAACCACCAAGTCCGGGACTACCAAAAAAAGCTCCACACAAACACCTTCCATCATTTGGCCCGAACATTTTTTAGATTTTCTTTTTCTCTTCTTTTTTTTCAGTCAGCTAAAAAAAAGAAATAAAATGACACTCGAGTTTTCAATTTAATTTTGGCTCACAATGTTTTTAAAATAGTTTTAATTAATTTTTAAAATATAAGTCTTGCACGAAAATTTGCCATTTTTAGTTGTTAAAGTGAGCTTTGACTAAGAAGTGAATTGTGTTTACCCTTACAAAACAAGAAATTAAGTTATTTAAATTTTAGGTCTTAAAAAAAGTTTGTTATTTTGACTTGAGTAACTTTTTTCTTTTTTGATACACGAAGAAAAGCTAAAAAAAAAAAAGGCAAAAAAATCAACCAACACCCTTAACTTAAGGAGTGGCTGAGGAGTCCGCAAGCAAAAGCAAGAGTAATCCAATAGGAGATTTTAAGAAAACAAAATTATCATCCATATACTGGCGGTCTAGCAAGAGGTTCGCCAGGTAGTTAGTGCAACAATTGGTCTCCCTCAACGTATGAATAAAGAAAACTTGCCAATTACTATTGATCATTGCTCGAATTCGAGTCACCAAATATGTCTCACGAGCTTTCTCGCCATGCCTAGTGAGCAACGCAACAACAAAGCTTGAGTCGCTTTCAATGATAAGTTTCCTGACACCGTTACTCCAAACTAGCTGGAGTCCTTTCAAAACACCCCACAGTTCTGCATTCCATGCTAAACAAGAACCAATTCAGTAAGGAAATCCACCTATCTAGCTACCATTTAAGTCTCGCAACATGCCACCACAAGCAGTGAACCCTAAATTGCCCCTAGAAGCTCTAATTGTATTTGATTTAATAAATTCTTCCAGAGGAAGAAGGCAAATAATAATACGCTAGATCGAAAGAGAGATGTCCTTTCCAAACGCATTGCACACTTGCTACGCATTATCAATCACAACGAGATGCGAGTGAAGAAAATGACATGTGAAACTGAATTACGCCACTGCCATATCATCCAACAACCAACAACAAAAAGTGTAGCCCATGGGATCGTACCTGTACTTTCCACCTTATGATTCCAGCTCCATTATTGGTGAGACAATAGCTTACCAAGGTGATGATCAGTAGCTAGTCTAGCCACTCAAGCATATCAGCCTTGAAAAAGATTTCCCTTTCTAAAGGAGGCAGAATAGTAACCCATATCTCTTTGATGATGGGATAATCCCTAACAGCATGCAGTAAGGTTTCTGCCTGTTCATTGCATATGGGGCATCGAGGATCCCTACTGGACCAGTAAGCACCCTATGCTTTGGTAGGTAATATGTTATGGGCTAACTTCCATTGAAAAATTTTCATCCGCTGAGGACTTTTCTAACCCCACAGGTTTTTTCAGAACGCACATGGAAAGTGGACATCATCCGTCGTGATCCCTAATAGAGATGTATAACAATTTTTTACTATGACTGGCCATATTTTCAAGTCTTCCAACCCAACGACCTGATCCATCATCCAAAGCAAGTGGCAAGCAACTCCAAATTTGCTGTATAGTATTTTCAGGTAGCCAAGTCCGAAGTAGCTCAACTTGCCAATTGTTGTTGTCATCCACGTAAACATTCACACATTTATGGGCTTCTTCTTCCCAGACTGGATTAATGAGTCCGTCAATCAAGGGCTAAAGTCCCTACACCCACCTATCCCTTCAGAAGGAAAATGAAGTATCATCTCCAATCTCCCGGATTACCTTATTTTCCAAAAGCAACCAAACTCGACAAAGAGCAAATCAAAGTCGGGAACAACCAGCCCTCTCAGTGAATGTAGAGATATCAACCCCGTCTTCCACGTATTTTCCCCTCAGGGAATCTTACCTACAAAAAGTCTGCTTCATTATGGAATTGTCATGCCAACTTTGAAACGAAAGCATCGTTCATAATTTTTAACCACTTCAGTCCTAGCCCCCCCCCCCCCCCAAACAAAAATAAATAAACAAACTCATTTGGTAATGTTAAAGTATCCCATCCAATCACATGATGCCTACGGGTAGTCTCACTTTCACGCCAGATAAATCCCCCCTGAATCTTTTCAATTTCATCATAGATGGCCATGGGGAGCTTACCATGTTGCATGTGAAAGTAAAGGATCGAAGAAAAGACGGATTGGGAAAGCGTAATCCTACCTGCTTGTAATAAAGTTTGTTGCTACCGACCCCAGCTTTGATTTAACTTTATCAATAATGTGCCCATAGTGTTGTTTGGTTGGGCACCCACATATCATCTATGCACCCAAATATCTCCCATCATTACACACATGTTTGAAGCCACATCTCTCAATTACGTGCTTAGCAAGTTGCTTTGACGTGTTCTTAGAGAAGAAGACACTAGTCTTCCGAACACTCAATTTTAATTCTGATATCTCCTCAAACAAATTGATGCATTTCAACATGATTTCCATCTAGGGAAGCGATGCCTCATCAAACAGAATTAGATCGTAAGCAAGCATTAGAACATTTGTGGTTTAAGTAAATTCTTTTAAGTTTTTATTTTTTTATTATTTTGTCTTATTAAATTTGGGATTTCTGAATTTGTATTTGCATAAATTAACTTATGAATTATTGTGTAACTTGAGTTTAATGACTATTACATATTTTAAATAACTTTTTTAACATATGTTTTACGAATATTTTATATTTTCTTTTCTTTCTATTAATTTTTTATAATGAATTAACCTGTTTAATTTATCTCATTAATCTAGGTGGTTTAAGCAGAGTTTATAATTTTTATAACATTTATTATCGTCAAATATACATTTTTATTATATATATATATATATATGAAAAAGTATTTCTACAGCCACTTTAGATAAGCTTATTTACAGCTACCCTTTTATAACTATGTTCTTTCGGGAGAACATAGTTATAACACTAAAGTTGCTTTTTTTTCTCTCTCTACGTGAGTAGACATGTTCTGAAAAGTAAATGAGAAGAGAAGAAAAAAACAACTTTAACGTTATAATTATGTTCTCCCGGGAGAACATAGTTATAAAGGATAGCTGTAGATAAGCTTATCTAAAGTGGCTGTAGAAATGTTTACCCCATATATATATATATATATATATATATGGATTCGCTTTTTCTACAGTCAACTTATCTACATTTAGCTCAAAACGACATCGTTTTAAGGCGAAAATCAAGGTATTTTTGTAATTTTAATTTATTTCAGGACTATAATAGTCTTTTTTATTATAAATTTTTAATTTTTCAACTCAAAACGACGTCGTTTTGGGAGCGAATGTAAATAACCTATCTAAGTTCACTTTAGAAACGTTAAAGCCTATATATATATAGAGAGGCAGGATATTCTTACACCAGTGTAAGAGTTAGAAATTTTACACTTAATCTTAATCATTGATCCACTTGTATCCAATGGCTCACATTACTAAAAAAATTTGAGCCCTTAAATATAAGTGGGATCAACGGACTAGATTGAGAGTGTAACTTACACGGTGTAAAATGATCCTGACCCATATATATATATATATATATATATATATATATATATATATATATATATATTATCAAATATACACCATATAGAGAAGGTAACAATTGCATGAACTTTCTTGGTGTATCCACATCCAATAAGTTTTTCATGTCCCATCTAGCACACATCTTGTTCAGATGCCATGGAATACTTCATGCAAAGTTGTTAGAAACTTCATATAATTATTACCTTCTTTTTGTATATGAACATGTGCTTCGGAATCATTTTCATTGCAGAGTATCCTTGATATGTGGAGGAGAGTCTGTTCATTTAAGTAGTCTTTTAGATATTATGTTGTGGTAAGATCTTCACTGATTAGCTTGATCTTTCTCTTAAAAAAAATGTTACGAGATTTCCATACATTCTCAACACAGTCCAACTACAAGAATTATAATTCAACCGTCACTTCAAGAATAAGTGTAAGAAATCTGTTGAATCAAATGCATCCTCTCATGACTAGCAAAGATCATTTGTAGACTTTAACAGTTTGCTATTTTGTGATTTACAGGTGTAGTCCTCATTAATATTGAACCGTAAGATCTCGGATGCAATAGAAGACAATGATTACAACAACTTGACAAAACGTGCCTAACAAGTTAAGAAACTGCTGATGTTACCTATAGCTTATAATAGATCTCTCCCGTGATTCATGAAATCTATGGTGTATATACTAAGTGAGAAGACGAATCAGCTCTTAGAACCAATTAGTAAGTAATAACATGTACTCCTTAATTATAATCAATCTCTCCCGTGATTCGGAAAATATTACTTTATCAATTGAACGGAGTTTAATTTTCTCATGTTGCATGAGAATTAAATTCTTCTCATGTTATAACTCAACTAGTAGTGGATCTCATATTTATTAAAAAATATGAAGAAAAAAAAATTATACGCAAATCAAAGGATCACAACATAAGAATTCAATTCTCACGAGAAAATATTTTTCCTTGAACTAATCTTTGATCAACTGTTCTTGTGCTTCTGCCAATCTCAGCATCATTCTCATACACTTAATTGCTAGAAAAAAGACTTGCCCACATCATTCGAGATCTCTAAAAAAGACCCTAAACAACGAATTAAAAATTGGGCCTATTATAAGTTATTTATTAATTTAGTAGAAAGAATGAACATTTACAAATATTCACAAGATAATATCAGAATTTGAATTCTCAAATCTCAAGAAAAAGAGACGTCCCTGTCGAATTTTTTATTAAGGCATAAAGATTGTTCGAAATTATGTTTCACTCGTTTTATTTACACTAAGACCCACATAATATAAATATCCCAATCAAACATGCAAATTGCCTTAAACTCGTCACAATTGCCAAATTTACTACATATTATGGGGAAATAAAAAACATGTAACTATGCATTTCAAGAAACAGCCAAACTTAATTAGTATTAATAAATATTTGTAAAAAATAAAATTCATTATAAGTAAGAGACAGAAAACAAGACTACCTATTAGAACATATTCTCACAAGACAGGTAAAAAATTATAAAACACCCATTGGAAGATAAGTTAAAGCATCATCCATATGCAGAAACCCATCCCCTAAACAATAACCCTAAATTTAGAAAAGAAAGGTCAAGAGAACTGCAAATAAATAGAAAAGGAAAAATTGGAGAAACATGAAAATTAATACATCGCATGTCGGAATGGTACACATGCCCACAATAGTATCGCCTGCTCCTCAGCTTCCTCTTGGAAAGATTCAAGTATAATTCAAGTAAATAACACATCCAGCGAAGCCTAACTTGGAAAACATAAGGATCAATTTGATGCCTGGCTCTGATTTTGACAAGTAGATGAGCTTGCATATTACTGCAGGGCACTAGTTGCTGGTAAAAGCAACTCAACCAAAGTTGTATCATAGGAAGTAATCAGGTGTTCTCCTGGTTACATCTGGCTCTCCCCTCCTTGGAGCTGGCTCAAACTGGAATTAAAAAGTTATTTAGACAGCTAATTTTATGTACCAAAGACTAAAATCAAGATTAAAAGTATTAAGAGTCAGAGATCCACTGTAATGCTTAGTAATTATCCAGCAAAAAAATAACTGCAGTAGCTTCTGTGAAAAGCAGTTAAGTAGGTAATAACAAATGAAGCTCAACCTGAATGAATGTGTGTCCTTTGCAGTCATCAACTTCAAGGATAGATGCCATGTTGCCACAGCGATAACAATAATTAGGTGCACTAAATATGGTAACCACCTTTTGATCCTGCAAGAAGGCACCACAAATCAGATATCAGCCATTCAACACCACGAATGAAAATGAAAAAACTAAATGAGATTAAGTACTTACATGACCCCAGTTATATCCTTCCATAACAAGCTGGTGAGCCCTAGCAATCAGCTTCAAGTTGTTGGTATGGTTAAATTGCTCAGATATGTCCTATAAAAGCAATATACATAAGCAATCAACCAAAACTAATGATGACCAGTGAAAAAGATAAAAGGTTGATGACCAACGAGCTAGAATACCTGGCCAAAGGTATATCCAGCACCTCTAGGAGAGATACCCCAACCACAACGATCATCCGGATCAGACCATAGAAGATCACACATGGGTCCCTCATGAGGAACTTCTTGTACACGATCAAAATTACGTATGTTATCAAGGGTTTCAATAGATGGGGACAACCCACCATGAAGACAAAATATTTCAGATTCAACCTTCAAAAGAGAAGAACATATCACTTCAGCAACATTAAATTATTGAAAACCTGGAAACCTCAGTGAAATATGTGAACTGCAACTAATTGGGCGGTATATCATGAAGTTCTTTTTTATAGGGAAATAAGAGATACAGGTAAACTAGACACAACTCAAAAGAAGCATAACAATTAAAATCTAACCAACATACAAATAACTCAAATCAGAGGCCAAAAAAATATCCTACAGTTCTTTCCAAAATAATATAATAGTATACTAACTAATGCTGTCAATGGAAAGTAGTCAAACAAATCAGTAAAGATCTTCCAAACATTAGCACTGCCATACCTGCAAATTAAATAAGAAGAATATTCATCTATACATGATTGTAGAACATTTAACGTCAACATCAACAACACCTTTGTCCCAAACTAGTTGGGGAAGAGGTTGATAAACGCAAATGAAACTATACAGGATTGCACAACTTCAAATAAATTTTGAAACGGAAAAAAAAAAAAAAAAAAAAAAAAAAGAGGATTAAAAATGAAATAAAAATAAAAATATCAAACAGAGAAGATGAAACATACCATGGAAAACAATTTAAAATAAAACAAACAGCCCAATGAGCAAAATAATAAGAATTTCAAATCAACTTTCATTAAAAAAATTGATTTCATACATTTTATAGTTGTATACAACTTTAACATAGGGTACTACAACGAGCATATTTATGATCTTTATTAAATCACATCTTAATGCTGAATATGCAAACAAAAACCAAGAAAAACAAACTAGCATCTACAGCACTAAAGTATAATCAATATCAGAACATAAATTTTAGGCATCAGTCATAAAATCAAGAAGCATGTCTTAGTAATTTAATTGCTAGCTAATACTTAATTCAGAAATGCTATGTTGCCTGTAAGTGATCCATGAATCAAATCTCAAAGCTTTTCAATCTTTGTTAAACCTAACTGCCAATGAAAAGCCATAGCAACTACAATGATGTAGCATTTCTTTTTTTCACTGATACTGCGAGAAAGTGGGTTGAATTAAAAGTCTCCATCCTATTTTAAAAAAGAAAAAGAAAAAACTCATACAAAAGGAAAAAAGAACTCTATCAACCATGGCGGCGCTACAAAAGAGTACCAACCAGAGAAGGAGAGAACAGCTTTTATTATTTAGTTCACATCACTAGAATTATTTAAATTAAATCCGAAACACATAACAATAGGAAAAGTATACACATTGATGATAGTACTAATAAGGAATAAAGGAGGAGCAATTCAAAATTTGCAAAATTGTGTCCAACTGAAGACAATGATGATCATATATATTCAAGGTATCATAAACAAAAACATCCAAAAAATAATGAATTTAGCAGGTACTTACTTCCGTAGGCACTCATCATAAAACCCATAAACTTGAGTAATCTGCAGCAGAATGCTAAGATCAGGCATTACCATTCAAAGCTAAAACATATAAAAACAACTAAACAAACTAGGAAATCTTATAGTTGCACTCAATACTACAGCCCAAAATCAATGGAATCATCTCTAAACAAACTAGGAAATCATATAGTTGTACTCAATAGTATAGCCCAAATTCAATGGAATCATCTTTAAAACGAGCATACTTTGGTCCTCGAAGAGGGAAGGTATCAATTGGGTTGGGTCCTTGATAGTACATAGCTTCCTTAATCTGGATATGTGTGGAAGCATTCAATTGGAGGCAATAGAAATTCAGGTAGTAAATTGATAAAAAAATTGTTGACAACTCAATTGATACCAACTGTGTCTTCAAAGACCAAAAAGGGTTTTAGTCTCATCTTTAATTTACTACTGGCAGAAAGGTCACATGATAAGAAACAGAACAAACCTGGCGACTTTCATGATTTCCCCTCAGAATAGTGATACGCTGACGATAACGCACTTTAAGGGCAACCAAAAGCTGCATTATGACATAATTAGCACAAAAAGTGTTACTTAAAAAGAAATACCATCTGGAACAAAAACAAAATGTGAATATCAACTTGTACCACAAAATCAGCTTGAATATCATAAACGACAACTCTACATGCTAATGTTAATTCCCATGCAGGTGTATTATTAAAGCATACCACCTGTTTTATAGAGATAATGCATTATTTACACATGCAACATAATCATAAACTCGCTTTTCTTATTGGATAGCATGCTCAATAACAACAAATAGATAAATTACATCAACACCTAATAATTGCCATAAACCCCAGACAGGCCACACTGCATGAACAATTGGTAATTCATCATTTTCAGCACATGCGTATGCCACAAAGAAAGGAATATTAGAATGAAGGTCCTGAAAACAGAAATTTTCAAGGCAACCAAGAAATGCTGATGAACTAAGAAAATTTTAACTCCGTTAAGCAGACATAAAACTACTGATACAAAATATACAAGTGAGATTTCACTAGAACACGATAACTAAATAATCCCACAACAGCTTATGAGAAAATAAAAACAATAAAATATATCAGTTTAAACTCACAAAAAGGAAAAAGTAAAGCATGATAGCTCATTTACCGTTACGGTTTCGACAGAATAATAGCCACGGTCAACATAATCTCCCATAAATAAGTAATTTGTATCTGGACACTACCAACAAAAAGTTGTAACCAGAAATGAGTAATCAACCATCAGGTGTCATATTTCAAATAGAAGCAACACAACATATATAAATAGAATGCTAATAAATAATGGCTCAACCAAGTAAAATCTAAAAATAAACACACAAGACATAAGTTCTAAAATTTGAAATGAGGTTAAAAAAGACCGAGAATGAGTATCTACAGCTTCTGATTGGCGATCAACGGTCAACACTCCAGGCTGTTTCTCAATTAAAATAAGACTTACTGTGTAACTGCATTAGAAATTCAGATCTAACTACATATGTTGTCATACGGACAAAAGATACTAAAAACACAGCCATGTTTTCTGGCCCAAATAGCCAGGAAAAGAAAAGAAAACTTCCTAACATAAATACTTTCAAACTTTCATGTTACAGGATACAGGACCTTAGCACTAATAGAAACCCAAGTAAAGACCCTTAATCCTATAAATCCAAATATAAATGTCTGTCTAATAAGTTTTACACAACAAGGGTAATTTGGAAAGAATTTTTTTTATTTATTGATGATATTAAATTTCCAAAATTGAATTCAACATCTAGCAATTAGAAGGACTCCATTGTCATGAAATTTTAAATAAAGAATTCCCCTCTACTATGAAATCATGAAATCAGTCATATCTTATTTCAAAATACCTCAATGAAGGTGCATATGATTTCCTGATTTTTCCAGTATTATTTAGTTCATACATCTAAAAATTATGTAGTTTTTGCCAATTTAGTAAATACATGTTGAATATAAAGCCTACTAAAACAAAAAGTACCTTTCCTCCAATGCGAAAAAGCTCTGCAAGATCATGAAATTGCCCATGAATATCACCACAAATTGTAACAGGACTTTTCACAGGCTGCAATTATTGACAAATGAAATAATCTGTTTAGGTTTTTCAGGCATTCAAAATAATCATAAGTTAAAGCCCAACAAATAAACTTATAAAACAAAGTCAACCATCATAAATGGAAAGCCAAGAACAGCCCAGAAAGGTAATGAGAGCTCCTCAACTGAGGATGGTCACAAATCCAAGGGGGGGAAGGTGCTTAATGCAGACGATGTTGGTCAGAGATTAAATCAAAGCATAACCCCCCCCCCCCAACTAAAAAGCAATAATATATAAAACATAAATAAATCTAAAACATTAGACAAGCATACCTGGACATTGCTCTCTTCCATTAAAATCTCCTTCGCCTTATCACACAAAACCCTTACCTGCATTGCATATAGAAGTGCAAATGTTAAATAAAAGTTGGATCACTGAACAAAAACAACCACACTATCTTGATGGCAAAAGGCTCCGTAGAAGGGGTGGAAAGGGAATCAAACAAAACACAAGATCACAAGTACAACAACCCTAGACTATCAAACTGCTTTTCCAGAATGTAGACTACAGTCTTCAAAGAAATTAGCAAATAAAGGAATAAAATTGAAAACTTAATTGCAAATTTTAATGTATTTTGTCTATCCCAACTAAGCTACGGCAACTATTTGACAGTGCGTTGTTCATAACCAAAACATACCAATCTAAACTGAAAAAAAATGAAAACTGAACATAACTGACTATATTGGGTTATGATTGGTTTTCTTTTCATGAAACAGATATATCTGTTTGGATTTTAGTTTTTGAACCAAACTCATTCAATTAATCAAGGTTGCATTCCCTTCATCTGATAGAGAGAAGGAAGAATGGAATCTGTTCCAGTGAAAGAAATAAAAGCAAGGGGAAAGATCGATGATATTATCAGGATTTTCTTTTAGCCAAATTGCTGTTAATTGGGCCAAATGAAAGAAAAAATGAATTAGGATCTGGATTTTGTACTTCAAAAAAAAGGTTTGGCCATAAACCAATTAGACCAAACAAAATGAAATTGATTGAGATTGGTCGGTTAGGTTTGGTTCATTTATCCAATCAGAAACAAATTGATAAGAACCAAACCAAGAACACCTGGGTAGCAAGGTGGTCAACGTCGTTATGTTCCTCGTGAGATCGCACGATCTTATGATCTTTTGTCCCACCAGCAGTCCCGTGAACTCTTGAAGATCATAGGATCATGGACTATCCCACCATCCCGCAAAAAACCCAAATTTGAATATCCACTGGACTCTGGAAGACCCGATTTTCAAGACCCATGTTGAAAGTTGAAACCCCCTTCATTTTTGGAACCCTAACCCACTGTTGTGCTGCTGCTGCATCCTTGTTTACTTTGGCTGAACCTGAAACCCCTTCTCTTCATTTTGAACCTCGTTGTGCCGAATTACTAGTCTCTTATGTTGTTGCTGTTTCAGGTAATTTTTAGCCTCTTCTCCTCTGTTGCTGCTGTTTCTGCTGATTTGGCCACTACTCCAATTCTTGGGTTCTGCTGCAGTACTGCTGATTCAGACTCTTCTCTTCTGTTCTTCTGCCGCTGTTCTGCTTCTCTATGTTGCTGGTTTTATACGTCTGTGGTTGTGAGTGAATATAATTTTGCATCATAAGTAAGATCTTACAATCCATGTTACAATCACACGGTTTACATGTTGCCCTTTCCCTTCCGATCCTAGGGAGGATCTCGATTTCGACTACCATGCTAGGTAGTAATTTTCTTTAATTCTTTACGCACCCACCCATCAAATACGATGACTGATATGAACCTTGGGAGAGCCTCACCCCAAAAGCTAGTCCAAGAGGTAGGAGAGCCCAAAGTCCATATAAACCCCACATTAGTCACCCATACAACCAATGTGGGACTCCAAGACCCATACCTTGAAGTAGGATTGTAACAATGACACAATGCATATAATCCAAGAAACAAAAAGAAAATATTTAATTTGGCTATTAAAGATGCTTTACAAGATTCACGGTACATGAATGTAGGGGTGATTATATATTTATTAACAAGTGCACTCAAGAAACCAGCTGTTTTTTATATTTCTTTCTGGCTTTGCTGGCACCTTCCATGTTTAAAGGAAACAAAAAAAAATTGTCGTTAAATGCGAGTTATTTTGGAAGTATCACAAAGAAGCCAAACCACAAATATCATGCAACATACAGTTGCCCTAACTCAGATTATAGTTTCAAAAAGCTCTAAACGTGTTCAAAACCAAATGTCAAACAACTAAAGTCAAAAGAGAAAACTAAGTGAGAGTCGTAAATCATAACTTTGAACCAAGCCAACAATACAGGTTGAACAAAGCCAACTCTCCTAACATTTTGTGATGAAAATAATGACAAAACGTGCCTTTTCTACTTCTTAGAAGCTTGAGATGCAACTCATATGTCTTAACTTGCGGAATTAACGGGAGCATTCATTTCCTAGCACTTATTCCCCTCCTCAATAAAGTTTGTCAAATTTAAGCAACAACCCAATCAGCCTGCTTCTAGTATAAGTCATAGAACTCAATCAAAAAAAAAAAAAACACCTCAGTAACACATGACACACAAGTATAAGGAAAGAAGTTATTTCCTCTTTTTCAAACAAACTTCACAGTCAATGTTAACAATCTAAAATATCTACTCCTTAAATGCAGAAATGACAACATTAATCATGGCAAATTGACTTAGGTCTGAAAGTGACAAGTTTCCACCAACCAAAATGATATGACATGCTCAAAATAAATTCAAAACCTACATTCACTGGAACGAATTCCGAAATCTGACGGAACATCCAAACAAACGCGCATTCTAGTCGCCATTCCAAATTCAAAAGAAGCCAGATTTCACGTAAGAGAAAGCGGTTCAATTTTCGCTACAAAAAGAACCAGATCGATGCGCAAAAGAAATTCTAGCTAGAGTAGAAGAACCAATTAAAAATTAGCGAGAGATTTTCCCGATCCGTGCGTCGCATTTCCGGAAAAACCAAAGGAAAATGCACAGAAAAATGAAGCGGTTTGGGAAATAAGATTACCTCTTGCTCGGACAAGGGTTTGCACTGCATGAGCTGAGAAATCTGCTCATCCAGGTTTCCATGTGAATTCGAATCCATGTTCAACCACTAGCCTTCCTTCTTGTTGTTGATCGATCAAAATCCTTCTCTGAATCGGTCGAAACCCTAGATCTCACTCGGAAAACCCTTTTTGCCTTTTTGAGTTGTTTGTTGTTTCCGAATTTGAGAGAGAGAGAGAGAGAGAGAGAGAGAAGGGTGAAGAGTGGTGGTGGTGAAGAAACCAAAGCGTTGGAGGGTTCGCTAGGCTCGTTTTGTTCGAGAACCACTCCTTTTTCGGGGCCAAGTGAAATTAATAATAATTGCAAATTTGCAATGCTAATCCTAAACATAAACAAAATTATATTTATTGGGCTTTCAAAGATGAGAAAAAAAATGCATTTGCATACCTGCACGATGAAATTGACACGTCAACATTTTCGGAGAGATTATATTTATAATTTTTTTATTTATAATTTTTTATAGTCATATTTTAATCGTTGATTTTCGTTAATTAATAATTAAGATTTTTGTAAATTAAATTTATTAATTAATTATTAATTCACAATAAATAACAACTATTGATTGACGGAAATCAATGATTAAAATATGATTGTAAGAGTTTGTAAATTATTTGAGTTGTAAATATAATCTCTTCCCAAAATTATTTTGTCAAAACGGAAAACAAAATATTGATATATATAAATTATTTAATTTGTTTTTCCTTTTAAGGAGAACCATCACTGAAAATGTCTGAAATGAATATTTAAAAATTGAATTCATTTTTTTACAATGAATGCAAATAAGTTATTTTTATTAAATTTAAAATAATATTATTTTAAAATATTTTTATAATTATAATTTATTCATTTATTCCAAGGTTATTATAATTTTTATAATTATAATTTTTTAATTTTTCAACGAGATAATATCGTTTTGGAAATAAATGCAGATAATTTATCTGCATTCACTGTATAAACATCTTAAAAATTCTTACCAAAATCACACCAGAAGGAAAAAATGAAAAGAAAGTGAAGTAGGTTATTTTGTTTCTATAAAATTTATAGTTATCAATGAACTCAATTGAAATGGAACCAATTAATGAAGGGTGTGAAATTGGAGGGAATTTATTGTGGACCGGAACCATCATTTTTTAGATAGTCCTTTAGTGTAAATGAGATGGTAAAATTAAAAAAGAAAAAAAATAGTAAGAGTAAAAAGGGAAAGAAAAAATTAGTGTTATGAGAGGGAGCACTAAATTATTAAGTAGTCCTAGAGCATAAAAAATATTTCGGTGAAATTGCAAGGCTAGTCCTCCATTAAATTACTTTATTTATTTTTTCAAAGTCATGATGAGAGTCATCAATGTAATAAACTCAATTAAAAAACTATGTTCATATATATTAATTTAAAAATAATTATATAATCATATCAAATATATCAACTTTACTTTAAACTCAATTATATAAATAGTTACTGTATGAAATAATGTCTTCAACGAGTATATTTTCGATACATTAGATAAATAATCATAAAAATATACCGAGTGATAAATACATGTGAATATTTAAGAACATTAACCATACTGTTCCTTTTTTATTCTTTTTGAATATAATATACCTGAATGTCATAGAATAAAAAAAAAATTAAATTGCCACGGCACCATAGTCGCTGAAGTAGTCAGCTATTATGAACAGGACACGTGTCACTTTCTCAATGACTAGAAGGCCTGGTTGCACCAAAATAACTGACTACCTAAGCGACTCTGGGTTGAATGAGCTGTGTGTCCAGCCATTAGAGATGTGTCACGTGTCCGGTCGATAGTAATTGACTATTTAGCAACTATGCTGTTGTGTCAATTTGAAAAAAAAAATTGACTCCACGATGTTCAGGTATACTATATTCAAAAAAGGAGAGTATCATCAATGTAGCTGAATATTTACGTCTTCAACAAATGCCTATCACGTCGCACTTTTAGCCAAAATAAAAATAAAAATTAGAAAGGTGCTATTTCACATAACGTATGCACGAATGGCTTGCAAGATATGTCAGAGAGAATAAGCAAATTACACATTTGCCACGTGAACAAAATAATATCATAATAGTATTGTGGATTTTATATATTTTTTCAGTAAATTAATTTTTTAAACCTGTTATGGTTATTGGTTAGTCTGTTAAGCCGTCAATATTATTGACCACACTTTTTGTTATCTCATACCAATAATAAATAAGGTTTTATGTTTCTAATGTTACATGATATAACATAATTTTTTTACACACATAATTTTATGTGAATCTCATCCCTTGATTTTTCTCTCTCATTTCTTTTTTCTCCTCTCTCTTCTCAATTGTGTGTTTAAAAAAGTTATGTTATGTAACATAACAAAAATAAAACACTAATAAATAAACTAAAATATATGAAGGTTTTGAAGGTTTTCTTATTTTTATTTTATAAACACTTTACCCTCGTGGATTATAAATCGCTGCTCATGTTCCTATGCCTTTAGCGAGTTTGTATGTTGCTAGGACAACAATCTCTCATGGTTTTCTGTGTGAACGCCAGAACATCTTGGCGATTACCCATTTATCTAGTCACTAACTCACATGTCATACAAACCCCTTAACCTAAACATTCACTACCTGCCACGGGAGAGACCATATCATTTGATTCATTTCCTTCATGATTAACCAATACAAAAGGGGCATCGCATCCACTGAAGCAAGCTAAACATTCCTAGGCTTCTCCAATCAGCTGAATCTCTTGCTATCCTAGTAGGCTAGTACCCTTGTACTAGTTTTTTTACCTATAAACCCAAGTTCTCTAGTACCAACAATAAGATAGATAGCTGTTGTTTTCAACTTAGCAAGCCATACAAAACTGCCACCATATATATCCAGCAGGAAACTTTTAGGTTGATTCACATACCATCTAGAACTTTGACACCAAGAAGAGATGAACCAGACAAACAAGTAATTTTGCCTGTAAAATAATGTCATTTCGAGTTCGGGTTAAATGAAGAAATGACAGTCTAAAAGAGTTATCTGAAATTATACCATTGAACGTCAATGTTATATCTATCAATTACATCAACTTCTCCCTGATATGGAGTGCAATAGTCATTTATATCTTACATGGAAGCTCCCACAATCAATTATATCAAACAGCTCCAAAAGAATAACACTTCTGCAACGTGCATGCATACCCAACTACTTGATTTATATACCCCATAACGAGAAAGAGCCTGGTTAAACAAAATTCCAATCTCCTCGTGGGATATAAAGACTGTTTTTAATGACCATTAGATATATAAATAATTTCCCTATAAGCAGGCTTTGAGGGGTTATTACAAACAGCCATGCTATTCAATCCATCTTGGAAGTCCCGATACACCTGCATAACAAGATTGTTGTGAGACTTGTCTAATTTTATTTTATTTTTGATAACAGAGACTTGTCTAATTTTGGTTCATAACATTGTCAACAAATATATATATATATATATATATATATATATATATATATATATATATATATATATATATCAAAATGCCAAATAAGACGGGTGAAGACAGCATTAAAGTAAAAGCCACATTAACATCATACTGCAAACTGACAAACAAATAATGTGCTCAAAGCCACAAATCTTGCAAACAGCTTTCAATGCCCTCAAGTAATGTCTTTAGTGCTTTACAACAAAACACGGGACATGCTTGTTTAGAATTCTTTCAAGTAAAACAAATTTAAGTTATCAAGCATTTGCCTGGCAATTGTCCAATTGCCAGTTGAACAATCTCTTTATACATGGCAGTGTGTGTGTGTGAGACAGAGAGAGAGAGAGAGAGAGATTGTATTGTGGAGGGACACAACATTACTATGCAAGGGTCCACCAGTTTTACATAGAATCAATTTTTTTTTTCTATCTCATAAGAGGACACTGTCCTATTCTTAAGAAAAGTAAGGAGGATCCAAATTTGGGATTAATACTTAACATTTGTTTTAATGAATTTACCTTGGCCTCTGCTCTATTTTTTATTATTAGCGTAAGTATGGAATTGCAAAGTGAAAATTCAAAAAACCATTTCAATCTATCTTGAAAATAGAATAAGGATATATTAGCAGCATCAATTGGAGATGTACCTGTCAAGCACTCCCCCCCGGCCCCCCAAGGCCCCAACAACCAACCAAAGGCAGCACAGAAAAAGTACAGTTGGAAGAAAGTGCCTCTAGCTTGGACTTTTTCAACATGTTTGTTTATACTTTTTTAAAGAAAACTGTGGTTTTTAATTAAAAAACAAGTTTAAAATATTTTATAATGATAAGTTTTTTGAAAAGAAGCAAACTCCCCCCAAAAATAGTAGTTTTAATGCTCTTCTGATAAGTTTAAAAAAAAAAAAAACTGTATTATAAGAGCACTTTTTTCAAAGCTTATCCAAATTCCAAACACACCCTTACTCGGAAAATGATACGAACCCATAGTGGAAAGTATACAAGACAGATAAAAATAGGAGATACTGGGCTTCAAATTCAGAGATTGGCCCAAGAGAGGGTATGGACCTGAGTAATACTGCTGCTATGAGTGTTGGCACATGTAATGTGATTAGCTCAAGTGAGTGTGATGACCAAGTTACCCTCTAACAGAATGCAGGCAAGGAATGGGTAGTTGGTTATGGGAAAGAGGTTAAGAGGAGCGAGCGGTGGGGTGCTTGAGGTAGGCATCTGGAATATTGTTGGATTGGAACCTGGGAGAGAGCGAGGCCACTCCAACTGTCTCACAAATATCCTTTACCATTCCTGCACTTGTTATTTCTTTTTTTTCCAGTACCTTGTAAATTTTCCCTTAAGTGTCCTTTAAATTGTCTCCGTTTATAGTTCCTTTGGATGAAGAAATGGAATACTTTATGTTTTTGCCTTATTTCTCTGTTGTTCTTGGTTAAATCTGTATTTGGTTGTTTGGGTTGTATCAGAAAACTTCATAATTGTAAATACTCTAAATAACTAACCACACAATACTGCATATCAAACATGGGGATGAGAAGCAAAGAGTATATGATTTGTTTCATATAAGTTGAGCTTAACTACATCAGTAATATAAAAATTTGCTCGCACAAATTGCAGCTAATTCAGATTCAATATAAATACTTATGAAATGAGTAACAAAGAGGAATAACAATTAAAAAACGACAGTACCTAAGTTCGTGTTCACCAATAATCGCGGCAGGAGCATAGACCGTCTCTAAAATGGTGGTACCTTGTAGCATCTCGAATGAGGAGTTGCCTGCCCACAAGCTTAGAAA